TGGCAAGTAATTGCCCTTCTCAAACCCCTAAGAACCACTCATACCCTGCCCCGCTTTGCGCTGGATTCTGGGGTTTGCCACCTAGAAGAGGGCCAGTTCCCTACAAACCTTGCTGGGTTGAGTCACAAGCTGCTTCTTACCCCAGAGTGTGGTTGCCAGATAATATTCAGAACACTGAGTTAAATCTGAATTTGAGATAAACAATGAAAGTGGTTAGTGTAAGTATGTCCCAAATATTACATGTGACACACTTACATTAAAAAAGTACTGGTGGCATGCCTAAAATTCAGATCTAACTGAGCTTCCCATATTTCTGTTTGGTGAACCTGGCAAGCCCAGGTCTCAGGGTACATCCTTGTCCTTCCCAGGCCCAGTAGGCCAGTTGGCAGAGGTGAGCAAAGGAACATGTAGGGACTAGAGGTTTGGCGGGGGTACATCTGTGGGCTTTAGAGATGTGCAGGGATAAAAATATCTTGGGGGCCTACCACCAAAGGGTCTCCCCACTCATATCTTAGGAAGCAGGGAGCAGAAGAACTCTGCACTTGGGTCTGTTTCTAGCTTTGCCATTAACCTTTAGTCAAGATGGAGCCCCAAACGAGGAACTGATTGGAGGAGGAGAGAGAAAGGACACAAAGATGAGATAGTGACTGATCTCTGCCCTCCAGTTCCCCTAGTGTGGAGGAAGAGGCAGGTACTGAACACAACCCACAGTGAAAGGTCTAAAATAAAAGTGAGGCTGGAGGAAAGGGTGGAAAGCTTCCTGGGGAGGGGATGTGTGTGTTTGCACATGTGTGTGTGTGCAGGCTGGGGAACAGTGCTGGCTCTAGAATATCCATGAAGGAGGAGTTTGTGCAAATTGTTGGGCAGGTGGTGGTGGTGGTGAGGGGGGAGGTGGAGAAAACTTGCTTTGCAGCTGTGTTTGCATACCAAGCATACTGCTTTTTACCTAGATTGTATGTTTGCCTAAGGTTGGCTTGGGGGCAGCTGATGGAGATAATGAGGAGGGGCAGTAAGGCCAAGCCACCTTCTGGCACTGCTGCAGGTTCATTCATTCCACAGACAGTGGCAATGAGTCTCCCAAAGGCTTATTCCTAGGCCTGGAACACAGCATGGGTGGGGAGTGAGGTTCCTGGCAGAGGGAATGTTATGGCACAGGCGTTAGGAGAATGCTCTGCTCTGGGGAGGGGAGACCCCATGCTGCTACGTGGAAGGAGTGAGTGGGAGGAGGGGCGTGTGGAAAAGAAAGACCTCTCGGTTCTCTCTCCTTGGCCATTTAAGGATCCACCAGGCTTTAGCAAGCTGCGGCTGCACTTTGATGAAAAAACCCCGCAAGAGTTGAAAGGCAATGCCCCAGAAGGAGGCAGCAGAGATCTGGGAACCCCCTCCTATTAGACTGTATTCCCTGGGAGCCCCTCCTTAGTGCCTGCACATTGTGTGTGCCCTCCCCTTCTCAAGGGCACCCTCTTCTGAGAGGGGTCTTGTGGCGAAAGCAAGGGGACCTGTGTGGTGGACACAGTCCCATCTGCCACCTCTAATCCCTCTTCAAACCCTGACTGACACAGAGAATGGTGGCAGAGAAATGGCCAGGGGGCACTGGCCCCACCTCTGCCTCCCACTCTTTTGGACATGTCACTTCAGGAATCCAGGCCTCGCTTGCCCTCTGTGACATGAACAGAGACTAGATCTCCAGCTCTAAAATTCCGATTTGAATTCTCCTCCGAGACATTCTCGATCTTGCCTGTTTTCCCAGCAAACAAATGCATAACTTCACTCTTGAACACACCGATGCATACAAGGATATGTACACAATCTGCAAGAATGGAGGAGAGGATGGGGTGGAGGGAACTTGGTAGCCCAGAGGGAACTCCGAGGGGGAGATCAATGATTTGTTTACTCTATAAAAAACAGGGTAGGTTTTGTGCCAGGAACCTTGCAGTAGGGGTTCTTCCTGTGTCATACTGAATGAGACTGTTCGATTTTAGAATTAATTTTCTGGCAAAACAAAACATTCTAGACCCTGAAAACGCCTTTCATATTATAATTTCAGATGTGCTCTGTCATTTCTTTTTGCTACGTGATCAATGGATGTTTAAAAGGCTTCTCCTTTCTGGTTTCTCTCTTAGTGAAGTATTTAATGATTTGTAAGGAAGCATGTATAGGGAATTTCTCATTTCTTTTAATGTGAAGATTCCTTTACTTAAAAAATGGATTATGAATAGCTGTACCTCTAAGTCAGAGGTTCTCTACCTTGGCACTATTGACATGTAGGGTAGGATAACTCTTTGTGATAGGAGGCTGCCCTGTGTTAGATGCTTAACAGATCCCTGGTCTCTACCCACTAGATGCCAGGAGCACCCCCACTCCCAGTTGTGACAACGGAAAATGTCTCGGACAGTGCCACATCCTGGGGGACGGGGCAGGAGGTCACCCCTGGTGGGGAGCCCTTGCTCTGAATCACTGCCTGTAAATGAGGGATGCTGGTATAATGTTAAGCATTCTGTTAAATAAAGTGAAAATTTCCCCTGGAAGGGAGTAAATATAATTTAACCATTCAAACTGGAAGATGTTTAATCAGTATCTCTCCTTCCTACTCCGGGGAGGTGGCTGGCAGAGACCTGGTGAAGATGTATCCGTTTTGCTCTAGATCTAAACTTCAGAGTGGGGTTGCTTTGGAAGAAGGTACTTGTGCTTCAGGCACAAGAATCTCTCGATGGGTCTGCTCTTGCTCATTTTTTATGGAATCTTTGGGTAGGCAGGTGTTTTGGGGGTCTCTTACACTGCCCAAAATGTGAGCCAGGGCTTTCTCTGCTGCTCCCTTGGGGCCCTGTGAGCTATGGCAAGTAATTGCCCTTCTCAAACCCCTAAGAACCACTCATACCCTGCCCCGCTTTGCGCTGGATTCTGGGGTTTGCCACCTAGAAGAGGGCCAGTTCCCTACAAACCTTGCTGGGTTGAGTCACAAGCTGCTTCTTACCCCAGAGTGTGGTTGCCAGATAATATTCAGAACACTGAGTTAAATCTGAATTTGAGATAAACAATGAAAGTGGTTAGGGTAAGTATGTCCCAAATATTACATGTGACACACTTACATTAAAAAAGTACTGGTGGCATGCCTAAAATTCAGATCTAACTGAGTTTCCCATATTTCTGTTTGGTGAACCTGGCAAGCCCAGGTCTCAGGGTACATCCTTGTCCTTCCCAGGCCCAGTAGGCCAGTTGGCAGAGGTGAGCAAAGGAACATGTAGGGACTAGAGGTTTGGCAGGGGTACATCTGTGGGCTTTAGAGATGTGCAGGGATAAAAATATCTTGGGGGCCTACCACCAAAGGGTCTCCCCACTCATATCTTAGGAAGCAGGGAGCAGAAGAACTCTGCACTTGGGTCTGTTTCTAGCTTTGCCATTAACCTTTAGTCAAGATGGAGCCCCAAACGAGGAACTGATTGGAGGAGGAGAGAGAAAGGACACAAAGATGAGATAGTGACTGATCTCTGCCCTCCAGTTCCCCTAGTGTGGAGGAAGAGGCAGGTACTGAACACAACCCACAGTGAAAGGTCTAAAATAAAAGTGAGGCTGGAGGAAAGGGTGGAAAGCTTCCTGGGGAGGGGATGTGTGTGTTTGCACATGTGTGTGTGTGCAGGCTGGGGAACAGTGCTGGCTCTAGAATATCCATGAAGGAGGAGTTTGTGCAAATTGTTGGGCAGGTGGTGGTGGTGGTGAGGGGGGAGGTGGAGAAAACTTGCTTTGCAGCTGTGTTTGCATACCAAGCATACTGCTTTTTACCTAGATTGTATGTTTGCCTAAGGTTGGCTTGGGGGCAGCTGATGGAGATAATGAGGAGGGGCAGTAAGGCCAAGCCACCTTCTGGCACTGCTGCAGGTTCATTCATTCCACAGACAGTGGCAATGAGTCTCCCAAAGGCTTATTCCTAGGCCTGGAACACAGCATGGGTGGGGAGTGAGGTTCCTGGCAGAGGGAATATTATGGCACAGGCGTTAGGAGAATGCTCTGCTCTGGGGAGGGGAGACCCCATGCTGCTACGTGGAAGGAGTGAGTGGGAGGAGGGGCGTGTGGAAAAGAAAGACCTCTCGGTTCTCTCTCCTTGGCCATTTAAGGATCCACCAGGCTTTAGCAAGCTGCGGCTGCACTTGCCATTTAGAGACTATCCTGGCAGCATGGAGGACAGACTGGGGCCGACAGGGGGAGGGGTGTGAGTCTCGCTCATAGCTCCTCTCCTGACACCCTTCTACCCCCAGCCCTGGGGGTCCATCTCCTGTTACTACCAGCGTGCGAGTTCCTGGTCACATAATTGACAGTCTGTAGAGAAATACGGTGATTTCATTCATTCCCTTAGAAAGGCCAAATGGCTCTGGCCAAGAGAGAAAATTGGATAAAAGGGGCCTCACGTGTCTTAGTCAGGGTGAGTTTTGATTTTAAAAAAGGTTTTTAGTTCGTTGTGGGACTAAAACTTAAGAGAGAATGGAGAGTCAGAGAACATGATCTTTTTGCCTGAAACATGTGTGAAGTATGGTGAGACTATAGTCTGATTCAGGGGCCAGATGAGAAGGGCCCACTGCTGCTCTCTGGTTGAGGCCTGAGGGTGCTGCTGGACGGGTGCTGGGCTGAGAAGGCCCAGGAAGGCGAGCCTCGCGCAGTAGGAGAAAATGGTCTGCCTCTACCTGCTGACTTCCTTCACCGACATGAGGAATTCCTTGTACCCCTGGTCCATGAAAACAAGGCTTATCTCGGAGGGTGATCTCAAGGCCCTTGGTGAACTAAAACAGGGTTTCTCCAGAGGTCAGTAGGTCAGGAGCTGAACAAGTGTTTAAGTAGAACTCCGTCCCCCTGTATCCAATACACAGAGATAACACATTCACACACACTCACTGGGCCTGGCACCCTGGGGCAGAAAATCAGTCACTGACACTCTCCCACACAAGCTGGAGGGGAAAACCTTGTTCTGGGGTAACTAACTGGCTGGGAAAAAAGAGATCACCCTGGTGGCCTCACTGCCCCGATCAGGGACCTTGGGTTCATTGCCACCGACGTGCACGTTCTTGTACCTCTAAGCAAAGCTATCACCCCTGCTCCACAGGCCGTGCCCACCTCTGCCACTTTTCTGACCCCATTCTCTTGCAGGATCTGGGAGTCTCCTCTGCTTCTAGCTGCCAAAGAGAATGATGTCCAGGCTCTCTGCAAGCTGCTCAAGTATGAGGCCTGTGAGGTACACCAGAGAGGTAAGGGGCAGAGCCCTCAGCTCCAGGCAGCCCTGCACCCGTGAGTCCCCAGTGTAGCCCAGCACCTTCTGCAGTAGGTCCCTAAATCTCTACTGTCCCCATCCGCTGACCTGCAGAAGCCAGACAACCCTTCTTTCTGTCAATGCCAGGAGCCCTGGGGGAGACAGCACTGCACACTGCAGCCCTCTTTGACAGCCCGGAGGCTGCCCTGGTGCTGATGGAGGCTGCTCCGGAGCTGGTCTTTGAACCTATGACATCTGAGCTGTTTGAGGGTAAGGGGCCGAGGGGCCCAGGATGGGGGGAAGGGGTGACCTGTTGGATATTCCAAGTCAGTTTCTGTGGTGGATAATTTGGGGAAACCAAAGAAGGAATCTGAACCCCTACTCTCCACCCCCCCTTCTCCCTTGTCATTCTCACTGTCATCAGAGCACTGACCCCTTGAAATGCAAGAGGCCTGGCGAGAGGAAAGAGATGGGCAGAAGCTCTGCCAGGCCCAGGGCACTCCATCCCCCACTAGGCTGCCGTGGGGAAGAGGAGCAGGTGTAGATATGGGAGGGACCCCCTGCAGGATCCTGGGGACAGACCCCGTGACTGAGGGCTGTCCCCGAGCCAGGTCAGACTGCGCTGCACATAGCCATCATGAACCAGAACGTGAACTTGGTGAAAGCCCTGCTTGCCCACGGGGCCAGCGTCTCTGCAAGAGCTACAGGCGCAGCTTTCCGCCACAGCGCCCGCAACCTCATCTACTTTGGTGAGGGCTCGGGCCAGGGCCAGGGCTGGGGGAGGCCGGGGGAGAGGGGGGAGAGAGCAAAGGGTGGGGGTTGAGCAGAGCTCCAGCCCCAGGGCACCTGGGAGGGGCCAGCCTCTCGGGACTTCAGGCCAGACACGACCCCCCCTGACCCTCTGCACCACACCTGCCTCTGCCTCTGCTGACAACGGTCCCCAAGCCCAGGGCCAAGATGGGGGAAGAGGCGGTCGCTCGGGGAGACAACCCATCTCACCCCGCACTCAGGCCATGGAGCCCTCTTGTCCCCAGGGGAGCACCCTCTGTCCTTTGCTGCCTGTGTGGGCAGCGAGGAGATCGTGCGGCTGCTCATTGAGCACGGAGCTGACATCCGGGCCCAGGACTCCCTGGGTAAGAGCGGGGCTGGGAGGGGAGGAACGGGGACAGCCCCCAGGCACCCCTGGGGTGGGCATCGGGAGCTCCAGGGACTTTGGTCTGGGGGCCAGGTGACACCCGTGTCCTCTCCCAGGAAACACTGTGCTGCACATCCTGGTCCTCCAGCCCAACAAACCATTTGCCTGCCAGATGTACAACCTGCTGCTGTCCCACGATGGGCACGGGCCCCGCCTGCCAGCCCTGGACCTCGTGCCCAACCACCAGGGTCTCACCCCCTTCAAGCTGGCCGGCGTGGAGGGCAACACCGTGGTGAGGGCCCCCCAGACCCGTGCTGTCCCTCTCATGACCCTCCTCCTACATTCCGGCCCTTTGAGTGAATACCTGGGAACAGTCATCCCTGATGCTTGAGTCCCATTTTCAGCTCAGACTGGGATTTATTTCTCCTCCCCTGTTCCTCACGCCCCTTGTCCCCTTTCTTTCCCATGTTCTCTCCCCTGAGGGCTTAGAGAGCCTAGAGCCCACCCTGGGGAGGTGTGTGATGCCCAGGGCCCCTGCCCGGTCAGCTTGCCGGGCAGCAGCCCTCCAGCCGCTCACCTACTCCTCCCATGATCTGGGAAGGTGGGTTCTTCTGCTCCAAAGGCTGTGGTCATTGAGTGAGGAGCAGCCCCCTTCCAGCTGTGCTGTTCCCCTGGAGAGCCTCCCACTCCCTCTGGGGACACCCCTTTGTTTGCCCTCCTCACTCAGCCCCCACCCCCACCAGATGTTCCAGCACCTGATGCAGAAGCGGAAGCACGTCCAGTGGACGTGCGGGCCACTGACCTCCACTCTCTACGACCTCACAGAGATCGACTCCTCGGGGGATGAGCAATCTCTGCTGGAACTGATTGTCACCACCAAGAAGCAGGAGGTGCTGTCTTCAGGTTTGAGCGCAGCTGGGGAGGGAAGTCAGGCCTTCTGAGCTGATGGCTCTATTCCCCCACCGCAGGCTCGCCAGATCCTGGACCAGACCCCCGTGAAGGAGCTGGTGAGCCTCAAGTGGCAGAGATACGGGCAGCCATACTTCCGTGTGCTGGGCGCCATCTACCTCCTGTACATCACCTGCTTCACCATGTGCTGCATCTACCGCCCCCTCAAGCCCAGGGCCAGCAACTGCACCCATTCCCGGGACAACACCCTCCTACAGCAGAAGCTCCTTCAGGTGCGGCCCAGGAGCTGAGCCGTGGGGCAGGATTCAGCTCGGCCCTCCCGACTTAGCGCTTTTCTGCCCCGCATTTCCCCCTTTACCTAGGTCTCAGAAACATAGGCACAAGCTCAAAATACACACACACACAGGGAGAGGCGACTGAGGTGGCCAGACTTAACAGGTTAACAAGAACCTTGCAAGGCCCGTGACCTTATGCGTGGACACTGACGTGTGCCCAGGGTGCAGGGCAGATGCCTGGAGTTTCTGAGGGCTCTGACCCTGGTTCCTCCCACAGGAGGCCTACGTGACCCCCGAGGATGACATCCGACTGGTGGGGGAGCTGGTGACCGTCATTGGGGCTATGATCATTCTGCTCATAGAGGTCAGTTGTGGACAGGATGAGGGTGAGGCTATTTGCCCCAGGGGTCCAGCCTGAGCCCCTGTCTACAAGTGCCTGTGTGTCTTCCTGGCCTGGATACAGATTCCAGACATCTGCAGGGTGGGAATCACTCACTTGTTTGGACAGACCAACCTCGGGGGGCCGTTTCACATCACCATGTGAGTCTCTTTACTCTCACCCCCATCCCTTCCCTCACCCACTGGCTCCCTGGCCCCTTGGGAGCCCTGACTCCAGAAGTCCCTCTCCAGTGAGGTGTGTGTGACCCTGTGTATTGTGCTTCTGACGGCCGAATCTGAGTGTGTGGGTACTGTCTGCCTGCCTGCCCGTCACACTCTTCTTCTCGGGCCCCGGGATAAGCCCAGCCCCCTCTCATCACGCCCTCCTGCTCTCCCCAGCATCACCCACGCCTGCCTGGTGCTGGTGATCATGGTGATGCGGCTCACCAACACCTGCAGGGAGGAGGTGCCCATGTCCTTCGCGCTGGTGCTGGGCTGGTGCAGCATCATGTACTTCGCCCACGGATTGCAGATGCTGGGCCCCTTCACCATCATGATCCAGAAGGTCTGTGTCCCCCACCAAGCTTTCTAGAGAAGGGTCCTAGAGCAGGGACTTCTGCAGACCCTTCCGTGAAAGGCCAGGTGATAGATATCTCAGGCTTTGTGAGCCACATATGGCCTCTGTTGCGTATTCTTTTCTTTTCCTCCTCCTCCACTGCTGCCTCCTTCTTTATTTTTTACCCAATCCTTTAAAAATGTAAAAACCATTCTTAGTTCAAGACTGTACCAAAACAGGCCAAGCCAATTGGTCTCCAGGCGGTGGTCGGCCACCCCCGTCCTACAGGGTGGGGCTGTTAGCCTCCCACAGGCAGATCTGTTAGTGGCTGGAAAGGACAGTTGCTCCAGGGGGCTGGGGTGATGTTTTCCTTCCCCTCGCCTCCCTCTAGATGATTTTTGGTGACCTGATGCGGTTCTGCTGGCTGATGGCTGTGGTCATCCTAGGCTTTGCCTCAGGTTAATCAGGTTTGGGATGGGGGCCGTGGGAGGGAGAGGTTCGAGGGGCCCAGAGAGTACAGAACTCTTCTGGATGAACTTGGGGGCGGTGGGGGGAAGGTGGGAGGGAGGGCAGAGGAAAGAGGAGACCCTGAAGTCTGAGGATGGGCCGCCCCTCGGAGATGAGGGGAAACCGGGAGCGTTAGGAGAGGTGGCTCTTGGGGTCAGGACGAGCCACATGGGAGATAAGGGGACATAAGACCCCCGAGTATGCAGGGCTGGAGGGCTGGGAAGGAGGAAAGAGGCAGTGAAGAGCTGGCTGTGGTCCAGCCAGTGTGTGCTGCCCAGGGTAACTCACCCCGTGGGTGGGGCAGCCTTCTATATCATCTTCCAGACAGAGGACCCTGAGGAGCTGGGCCATTTCTGCAGTTACCCCATGGCTCTGTTCAGCACCTTTGAGCTATTTCTCGCCATCATCGACGGTCCCGCCAACTACAATGTGGATCTGCCCTTCATGTACAGCATCACCTATGCTGCCTTTTCCATCATCGCCCCACTGCTCATGCTCAACCTCCTTATCGCCATGATGAGTGACACGCACTGGCGGGTGGCCCAGGAGCGGGATGAGCTCTGGAGGACCCAGGTGAGCCCCCTGGTGGATAGGAGGGTCAGTGACATCATCCCAGCCAAGGCCTGGCCTAGGCTCACACAGAAGCAGCAGGGTATTTTGAACCCACGTGTTTGGACAGTTATTGTTCAGTACACAAAATAATGCAAAGTGTACAGAGGCACTGGAGGAGCAGGACAACTGAGCAATTCTGGAGTGACAGAAAATAATTCCTCATAGTTTGTTCGAAAAGTAAAAGATCAGTCTTTTCTAGACTAATCAACAAGATAATGGTGGCTAAAACTGCATTTAGTACATTTCATTATTGAATGACAACTGGAGTATCACATCTTGGCAATATTTAAGTCTGCAAAGTTTGACCCTAAAAACTTGTTGTTAAGAATAATACCACAGAAACTTCTTATAGGACTAGAAGCTATCTTCAGTAGATAAATCCTCATAACGGGGACAGAAGACTATTAACTGAATCAAGTCATCGTTTAAAAATATACTTAGAAAACAATCTATCTCAACAAAAATAATTTCACCCAAATGAAAATGGAAATCCTCAAAACTGGATAGCCCTGGCTCTACCGTGTAGAAAAATGGAGTTTAAAAAACCTAAACTGACTGTGGTTGGCTCAGGAAAATACCTTTTCCATGCAAATGTGCTGATCTCAGAGGAAATGTTTGCATTTAGAAGTGGCCTTTACATATGTCAGGTCAAAACATCCTGCAGCCCTGAGGACCCTTCCCATCTGCTTTGCCCTCCTTCCTGCCTCCTTGGAGCGAGGTCTCAGCCTCTTGCAGGGCCAGCCTGGCATCGGCATGGATGTTAGGTCGTTGGGTGAAGAACTGCAGGGTTTACGTCCCATCAATTCTCTCCTGCAGAAGAGTGAGCCAAGCTGTCACCAGCACCCCCAGTTCAAGGGTGTTGTCACCTGCTGGCATCCAAGAGCTCTGAGTTTCCTAGTGGTTGCTGAACTGTTGTCTCCTGCCCAGTGCCCTCTCCTCTCCTGCCCTTCTCAGTCTGTATTTCCCAGTCAGCACCCAGCTCCTGACATCACCTCTTTCCCCCATGCACAGGTCGTGGCCACCATGGTGATGCTGGAGCGGAAGCTACCTCAGTGCCTATGGCCTCGCTCTGGGATCTGTGGGCTCAAGTATGGGATGGGGGACCGCTGGTTCCTGCGGTGAGTGATGCTGTGGGGCTGGGTACCCCCCTGCTCAGACAACCTCCTGCTCCCGGGGGCCCTATGCAGGCCTGTATGGTCCCCAGGCCCCAGGCCCACTGCCTGTAAGGGGCCCCTCTGGGTGCCTGGGACCCTGAAAGCATCCTGAGCCGCTGACCCCATGTGTGCTGCTGCCCCTGGCCTGGCCGTGAAGGGCTGGAATGCCCCCACCCCAGCTGTTGCAGACAAGGGGAAAAGTGTGAGGATGGGCACACACAGCAGACAGCACGGTCCAGGACCAGCCCTCCCATCCTCGGTTGCCTCTCATGTCCTCTGCTCCCCACAGCGTGGAAGACAGACAGGATCTCAACCGGCAGCGAATCCGGCGCTACATGAAGGCCTTCAGCAGCCAGCTCTCTGAGGATGACTTGGCCAAAGACTCGGAAAAGCAGAAGCCCACCCACCCCTCCAGCCCCTGTCCACCCCTGGCTACCCTCTCGGCATCTCGCAGCACCAACTGGGAGCAGCTCTGGCAGGGGACCCTGAGGCTGGCACTGCAGGGGGTGGCCAGCAGGGCCCTGGAGGACGGGGAGGGCTGGGAGTACCAGATCTGAGGCCCGCTCCTGCTGCATTCTGGTGGCGCCTCTTGCTCCCCTGGGAGCATCCAGACCCAAACCCCCAGCCCTGACAGGTCTGCCTCCCACCCAGGCAGCTCTGAGAGCTGCAAGTGCGGCCCACCTGAGTCCCAGGTCTCCGCTGCATGCCCGGCTCTGGGGCAAATAGCAGCCACGGTGGCCCACACGGCACCCTGAGCACGGCTGGGCCATGAGGAGCAGTGGACCATGGGAGGCCTTCCCCGTGTCCTCCGCACTGTCAGCACAGAGCACTTTAAGGACAGGTACCCAGTCTCTGTCCTAGTGTCACAGCAGCAAGAGGACAGCCCTTCCCAGGCTGCTCCAGATGGTAACTGCGGGGGAGGCTTGTGGGAAGTTGTGTGAGAGGAACGGATTGCTTTGGGTCTGGTTGAGTCTCTACCTTTCTTCTACTTGCCAATTAAAGTTGTTCCCTACTATCTCCTTGGCTCCCCTGTGCCTTCACTGCGCAGTGCCCCTTCCAGGCAGCCTCCACCCCTCCAATGCCTTCCCAGCCCTTCCTTGCAGGTTGAGGCCTCACCACACCTCCAACTTGCAGAATCACTTCTTTCCCTTTAATGTGGGGGGAGGCGATGGAGGGACGGAGGGCTGAGGAGTGAAGTGTCCAGGGGGTCAGTCGGCTTTAGTGTGGCAGGCAACTCTCACAGAAGCCAAGGAGACTTGCACGCGCCTCCCATGTCCCCCTTGGGCCTGCGTCCACGGCTGGCCACGGGCACAGTCAGTCCAGGGCTCCCTGCCTAGGCTTCACACCTCCACTGAGCCCGGCTGCCTCAGGTGCTGCTGTAGGAGCTGGACGTTGTGCAGCAGCTTCTTCTGGTGGCCAGCCAGGGTGACGCCCAGAGCAGGCAGGTCTCTGGTGGGGAAGGAGCGGATCAAATCTGGGCCAGCTTCTCCAAGACCCCAGGCATGACTGCTGGCCTCAGGCCCGGAGGACCACCACCCACCTCACCCTGCTTACTCCAGGCTCAGCTGAACCACATCACTGAAGGTGCAGAGGCCAAACTTGGAGAAGTTGTCCTGGTAGCACTCTAGTCCAATGGCCGAAAGCCAGGCCTGGGGTGAGTCCAGAGAAGGGAAGTCCAGGGCCACAGGGGTCAGAAGGGCCTGGGAAGGCCTGGGGGAGGGGCACAGGCAGGTCAAACTCCCCCCTTCATTTTGCCCCTTTGCTCAGTTTTCTTTTTGGTTTGCATCTACCCTCCCTAGCTTTCCCAGGCTCCAGTCCCAAGCTCCAGACCTGTCCCCAGGGCCCCCGCCAGCCTGCAGAGTGTCTGGTTTGCGGATCATCTTGTCAAATGCAGCCACCAGTTGGTCAAAATGAGGCCGCCGGGTCCGGTCCTTCTGCCAGGTGTCCAGCATAAGCAGATGTAGTCCAGGAGGACAGCCTGGAGGTGGCGGCAGGCGGAACTCCTGTTCTATTGCATTTAGTACCTGGGGGTTAGAGGAAGGATATGCTATGGGAAGCTACTGCTAGTGGAAAGGAGTATGTTGTTAGGTTGGGGGCTGGCATCAGGTGAAACGTGAGGTTGGGTGGAGAAGGAACTTAAAAATATGGGTACCAAGAGCAATGTGAACTTAGAATGTGGGTGGATCAGAGAATGGAGGTCTTAGTGTGGATGAGTCTGTGAGGCTCAGGGGTTGGAAGGATGGGGGTGTGGCATCAGCAATGTCTAGGTCAAGAGCTCACCTCCTGATCGCTCATGTCCCAGTAGGGCCGTTCTCCATAACTCATCACTTCCCACATCACTATCCCAAAGCTCCAGACATCACTGGCTGTTGTATGCTTTCCATGTGCAATGACCTCTGGGGCTGCCCAGCGAAGCAAACAACTTGGGCCCTGAGGGTGGGGTTTTTAGTGATAATCAGAGTAGTGGCCACATTTATTGAGCAACGACTATATGCTCAGATGTGTGTCCAGGCTTTCATATCAAGCATCTTGTTCGATCCTCATAACAACCCTGTAGGGTAGAGGATATTACCTCCATTTTATAGTGCAGAGGCTGAGGCATAGAGAAGTATGAACCTGTGGAGTCACACAGATTGAGGTTCGAGAGCTCAGGGTTTGCACCCAGCTGCTCTGACTCTGTGGACTCTGTGCTTTAGGGGAAGCCCAGGAGGTGGTTCTAGGTGTTTTTACAGGTCTCCCACCTCCCCCGTCTAATGGCCTGGCCTGGAGCCCAGAAATCCCTCAATCCTGTCCGTCTCTGACCCCGGCCTCCATCCTGGATGGAGCACGGGTGAGCTCCAATACTGCAGATATTACGATATGCCACCTGAGGTGCCCACCCCATGTCCTGCTCTTCCTCCAGCATCTACTGAAGGATGCTGAGCCGCCATGACTGTGCTCTTACCTGAGGACTGTGGCCAAGACGGGCCACTTTGCACACTAGATGACTATTCACCAGCACACTGCGGGCAGAGAGTGCTCGGTGGACGAAGGCAAAGCTGGACAGGTACTGCATGGCGGCAGCCACTCCCCGCTGCATGGCCACCAGCTGCAGACTGCTGAACTGGCCCTCCCGCTGCTGATGGGCAGGGAGCAGAGATCAGCCGCCAGCAATGGGGCAGGGAACCTCGACACATGGCACAGCAGACGTGGGCACAAGAGGGTGAAGGGGTCAGGGAACCGGAAAATGCGCTGGGAATAAAGGATGAAGACCACGGGAGGCGGGAAGCAGGGCATAGGGCTCTGCCTCCAGGACAGTTGAGAACTGCCAACTTGCCATCACCCAGGGCCCCTCCTCCCTCTCCCAGGCCAGACTGACCCTGAGGAAGCTGTCCAGGGGGCCCAGCTCCATGAGTTCTGTTAGCACCATGAGGGGCCGGCTCTTGGTGACCACGCCCTCCAGCCGCAGGACGTTGGGGTGCTGGAACTGGCCCAGCACGGCAGCCTGACCAAGAAAGGTCGTCTGCAGGCTCTCAGCACCACCGGCCCACAGGGCCTGGATGGCCACAGCCTGTTCCCGCCGTCCCCGGGGCTGTAGGCGGCCCCGGCGAACTTCTCCGAAGGAGCCTGGGAGAACAGGTGTAGCTGGGGGAGGGTGTCAAGGGTGGGCAGAGGGCTTATGGTGTCCTGCCCTGTTTAGAAGTGATCCTGCCAGGGGAGGCTCCCAGGGGGCCCCAGTCCTTCCCATTCCCTGCTCCTGCCCCCACAGTACCTGCCCCAATGACTTCCTCGATCTTGATATATGCAGGATCAACCTCCCGGGCAAATTCTCGGATGGCCTGGCAGGGGTCCTCGTATGTGGAGGGGTCGATGTAATACTTCACCCCAAGACCTGAGATGTATAGGTTGTTATGAAGGGGTGCTGGGAGGCCGTGCTGCCCACACACCCCAGGCATGTCCTCTTTCTTCCGAACATGGTGCTCAGGAGCACCCCTCAACTTTGGGGGAACCCAACCTTGCCTGGGGTGCTCCCAGCCCCGAGCCCCCATCTCTCCACCTGTGCACCCCACAGTGCTAGCTCCCCACACCTGGACTGCTGTACTGCTGTAGTTGCTCTGTGTAGCCTGTCCCACGCCGCTTCCTGGGGGACGAAATCGAGTCCTAGAATGACCTTCCCATTTCCTCCCACCTCTGCGTGGGCCGGGTGGCAGAGGACGAGGTCAGTGGGGGTTTCGGCACAGGCTCTGGGGCTGCCTGGACTTGGGGTTGTGCAACCAGAGTGAGGGGCGTGGGGGCACAGAGGGAGGGGCGCACCTCTGGAAGACAACAGCCAGCACAGTGATGGCCGCCAACAGGAGGAAGGCCAGGGCTCCCAGGATAGAGCCAATCACCAAGGACAGTCTCTCCGGAAGCCGGGCGGACAGCTCACCTGAGGACCCAGGCGCCCAGGATCACCGCCGGGCAAGGTCTCACATGCACGTGCACCCACACTCGCCCGGTGCGCCCACCCCCATCCTCCCATGGACTCGAAGGCCAGCTGCTCAGCCAGGAGCCCCCCTGCACACAGCCTCTGGTCTGGAGGGTCCTGGGCGAAGGTTCAAGGCAGGGGCAGCCCCTGGGCTCTCCTCACCACCGCCTAGTGCCTCTCCCTCCCTGTCCAGGCTTCCTCTCACCTTGAGGCAGTGTCTGGAAATAGACCTTGCCCCCAAAGGGGCCGTGGCCTGCGGCAGTCCGTGCCCGGACCTGGAAGCCATAGATGTGGCCGGGGCTCAGCTGCGTCACAGTGGCTGTGTTGGTCTCGATGGTCAGGGTGAAGGAATGGGATTCATCTTGTGCCTGGGGAGGGGGCAGCCACTCACTCCCTGCCCCCTGCCCCAGTCCCCTCACCCTTGCTCCTACCCGCAAAGCTTCCAGCCCCTCCCACGTTCTTGAAACCCCCTGCTGCAGGCTCCTTGGCACCTCTGTCGTCCTGGTGGCCCCCACCTCTCACCCCCTGCAGTGGCCCTTGAGCTCCCACCAGCTCTGCTGGGCACCCCCACCCCTCCTGACCTGATCACAGTAGCGGAGCTGATAGTCCAGGATGTTCCCGTTGGTCTGGTCTGGCTGTGGCCAGGACACCGTGAGGCTGTTGGATGCCCGGCTCACCTGGTGTACCACAGGGACTGCGGAGGGAACTGAGGCAGGGGGGTTAGTGGGGAGGTTTCCAGGGCCAAGGAGCGGGAGCAGGGAGGGGGTGCTAAGGAGGGGTAAGGCTCACCTGCGTGGCTAGTGCTGACATTGATGGCTGCAGCCTGGGGAGGGTCCGGGCTGAGCTCTGACACCCCGTTGACAGCCTGCACCTCCAAGATGTAGGGCACGTGTGCCCGGAGCCCCCCGACTAACACTCGGCTCTCAGTCAGGCCCCTCTGGCGGGGGTCGAAGTGGACCTCATCCCTGCAGCGGTGACAAGCGCCCCCGCTGCCAGGCTCCTGGTGGCCTCTGCACTCCTTGCACACGACGTTGAAGAGCAGGTCCCCTCGCCCCCCCAGCTCCTGAGGGAGGCGCCAGTGCAGCATGAGAGCGGAGCCTTGCACCTCGAACCAAAGCTCCCGGGGTGCAGATGGAGGGCCTGGGG